CAAATAGACTGAGATAGATAAATAAATAGATAGATAATGAACAATGCGGTAGATAGAAACAATCGAAACACATAGATAGATAGATAGATAGATAGATAGAAAGAAAGAAAGAAAGAAAGAAATAGACTGAGATAGAGAGATAGATTCGAAACACTGAGAGAGAGAGAGAGAGAGATTCGAAACACTGAGAGAGAGAGAGAAATAGATCGATAGGTTCGAATCACTGAGAGACACTGAGGTAGAGAGATCGAATCTAGATAGATAGATAGATAAACTGAGAGAGACAAATAGAACTGAAACTCGAGTTAGATAGATAGATAGATAGATAGATAGATAGATAGATAGAAAGAAACAAATAGACTGAGATAGATAAATAAATAGATAGATAATAAACAATGTGATAGATAGAAACAATCGAAACACCTAGATAGATAGATAGATAGATAGATAGATAGATAGATCAGAATATTAAAAACTGATCCTTATTTAAATTCTTGTTTTTGAAATGCATTCTAAAAGTTAAGAAACATTCGACTAACCGCGTTAAAAATGTCGTTTTAACCTCAATTTAAAAGCAAAAGATATTCGTTCAAGAAGATGGAAAGAATTAGAAACAGAGGCAAAGTGTGAAATGTTTACATGAACCTTTTGACTCTTTTCCCACTCGACTCATTCCCGTTTATTCAGCCATGCAAATGCTGGATCTTTCTTTAGTTCCCTCCAATACAAATCCTCTCCCTCTTTATTTTTTTTTTTTTTAAATTTCCGAACGTCCATTTTCTCAATCCTCGGCTACAGTGACCCTAGGCTAAATATCTACTTTATTTACGGTCTCCTTTTCGTAAACTCTTCACACAACGAGTTAATGCAAACACTCATTTATAGAGCAACACACTCAGAAAATATGTACATAGGACCACCCACGTCGACGATGGTCCACAACGAGGTCTTACCGGATATTAGTCTTAAGAGAAATTTACCACTAAGCTAAGTCTGTCATAAGGCCATCGAGAATTGAGATCACATTTCAATGACAAATAAAATAAAAACTCTGATACTATACAGTGGGAAGGAGTAAGTTAACATCTTTGTGTTTGGGAACCACCAGTTGTGTCTCAGATCTTTATGGAATTTTAAGCAGCACCTCCAATCCTTTTAATTCCATAGATTGTCGCAGGTGTGAAGCTACATATTGGAAAATTAAAATCTGAACTCCTGTCACTGGATCTAACCAACGCCTTTATCCACTGCCATATGTCCTTGAGGACATCTGTATATGAATTTCTGGGTATTATACCAATACCCGGTTAAGGCAGTGGAGAACTTTCAGAGGGAAAATTAACAGGAGATACCTGATAACTGACATCCATTAAACATGGCGCATGGAACTAGAACAGTCTACCACAGTGAGCGAAATAAAGGGTTCAGTTCGACATTCCAACCACCTGAAGAAGGCCGGAGCATACAACGGCCGAAACGTTGTGATAAATATGGCGACAAAGATGAGGACAATAGACCGAATAATGTAAATAATGTACATAATGCCAGAAATATAGACAGATACAATATATATATATATATTAGAGAAAGTCAGTTCATGTATGTTTCTTACAGAATATAAATATATTAATTCAAAATAAAGAGATTCGACTAGAAAAGACATAATAATAATAATGATAATGATAATAATCCAGAAACAATTGGCCATCTTGTATCAGGTATTAGAATCCAACGAATATAAATGGATAAATATAAAATTCGGCATAACATGCTGGGCCAATATCTGCGCTGGAAAATTTGGAACTTTTTCGGCAAGGAAATTGCAAGAAATTGGTATGAACACCACCCAGACCCGATTACAGAGTTTGGACCTGTAGCAATTTTATGGAACTTTACAATACACCCAAGCAGAGCAATCAAATCTAATCGCCCAGACATTGCGGCCACAAGAACAGAATGTACATGAATTGACATGGCCGTCGCAGCAGATTTTAATGTATCTCTGAAGATCTCCAAAAAGCTATAAAAATGCAAGTGTCTTGAAGAAGAAATCTCAAAAATGTGGCCAATCAAGACATGAATAATTCCAGTTGTATTGGAGACCTCGGTTTGACTGGAAAAGATTCTGAAAGATTCACTGAAGAAATGTCTTGGAGACCATGCTTTAAAGAAATGCAAAAAAAAAAAAATATTGTTCCCACAAGTACTGGTCACTTCTTACGAAGGAATTTATTACTGGAATTATTATTATTATTATTTATTTATTTATTTTTTAAATTTATTTCATCATCTCACACACACACACACATATATATATATATATATATATATATATATATATATATATATATATATATATATATATATAGTGCCCAGTTCAAGATTGTATTACTTGCATAAAATCAATGACTTATATCGGACACACCACTACCCCCTTAATTAGACATCTTACATGATACCTTTCGAAGCAGTGTGCGATTAATAAGGTATTTATTAACTCATAATTTACAAGAACCTTTAAGGAAAATTCAAATTTCGGCAACACAAAGATTCTTTTCATATCACATAGACGTACACAACTCATAATTTGGGAAGCACTGTTTATTAAATATTATTCGCCCTCTATCAATGTTTCACTATTTAGCAGAGGAGATTAGCGCGTTGAAATTTTTCTAAAAATAGAAGTCATGTCCAGGTCAACCGGCCACGCATAGCACGTGACAGCCAAAAAGTATTAACACCAGCCGCACAAACTTCACAATGTAAAATTTCTATGTAGAAACCGCCCACGGAAATTCACCCTCCAAAAATAACATCCTTGATAATGGCTATGGAACTAACCGAAAGCACTCGGAACAATTATAACTGTGCATATGTGAAGATGGCTCATGTGAGATGAAAGCTTAGGAATAGATTAATAAAAAATATCCAAATGTTGGACAATTTTTGTCTTTATTTTCACCAGAAATTAAAGAAAATATTCAAACTTTAGAACGATTCGTGATCAGACATAATAGACATTCATTGTCTGTTAAATTTAACATTATATTTTTAAATAATAATCTGCAATACTATATATATATATATATATATATATATATATATATATATATATATATATATATATATATATATATGTCCTGGAATTCTACCTGATTCTATCCTCGAAATTTATGTACGTGTATATATCTATCTATCTATCTATCTATCTATATATATATATATATATATATATATATATATATATATAAATTAAATTTAATTTAAAATATGGTTCCAAACTATGCAGGAATTACCATGTTTCAAAACAGAAACTAAAAAACTTTAATTTAATTCTATAATTGAATTTGAAGTTTTTAGTCCCTGTTTTTGAAACATGGTAATTCCTGTGTAGCGATGGAACCATATTTTTTTAATTAGTAAATTTATAATATTTATGCTCTGTAGATTTGCAGTGAGCACAGTTTTGTAAAAATAAAAGTATTAATAAGAACACCAGATTATATATCTTACTGTTCTTTCTCTTTATTATAATATATATACACACACACACACACACACACACACACACACACACACATACATATATATATATATATATATATATATATATATATATATATGCATCGTTGAAGATCAAGGAAAATTTATATATTTTTTTGATTTAATTTCTTTGAGATTCGCACGATTCTTCTAGTTTCCGGAGAGAATTGGTACAAAAATTGTTGGGTATCTTCCGAGCGCCTTTATGGGTCGTCATCGTTAATTATTCGTGTCTATGCATCGTTTTTCAGTTTTAGTTTAACAGGGTCGCGTCATCATTCGTCAGCCACTGTTGTGCCGATCGTGTTGGCTTTATTTACGCAGGCATTTCTTGAATAGGCCAGTTTGGTTGATGAGCAATGAAAGAAATTTAATGAAAGTTTTCTTATTTCTTTTTTATACAGTTCGGAGCATTTTTTCCCCTAGTTTCCGGAGTGAATTTGGGCATAAATTGGCCAGTACCTTCTAAGAGATTTTGGCTTTTATAAGCCCTTAAATATAAGCCTAGCCACCTTATCGGGTTTATAAATACTTACTGCGAAATAAAATCCTTACATTTGTATTGATAAAGTTCATCAGTGGCCTAAACGCGTTGGTAAAACAGTTTTTTTTTATCTATATTCATATTGCCTTTTTACAGGTATATTTTCACTTATATCTAAATTTTAACAGAATAATAATAATAATAATAATAATAATAATAATATTAATAATAATAATAATTTGCACGATATTGGCACCCACTGAATATAAAACCCGACATGACAGAGTGGGCCAATATCTGCACTGGAAAATTTGCAACTTCTACGGGAAGGAAACTGAAAGAAAATGGTATGAACACCACCCAGTCCCGGTTACGGAGATAGGACCTTTTACAATTCGATGGGACTACACAATACACACTGACAGAACAATCAAGGCCAACCGCCCAGATATTGTTATCAAAGACCACAAACAAAAAAAGTGCGTCCTTATTGATATGGCAGTCCCTGCAGACTACAATGTATCTTTGAAGATCTTCAAAAAGTTGTCAAAATACAAGGACCTTGAAATAGAAATCTCGAAAATGTGGCATATGGGAACATCAACAATCCCTGTTGTAGTTGGAGCCCTAGGACTGGTTGGAAAAGATTGCAGTAGACTAATTGAAGGGATTCCTGGAAGTCCATGCCTCAAGGAGATACAAAAAATTGTTCTGACAAGTACAGCCCACACTTTACGAAGGGCTTTATCTATGTAATTTTTTTTTTTTTTTTTTGTCAGTGGAAAGTGTCATGACGCCATTTCTAACCTTAGGTCCCTGGGCATGACCCGGAAAGAAATGTGTAAACGCCAGAAATCAAAGAAAAAAAAAATATATATATATATGATGGCAGACATCGATGTCGACTATGACAACAAGCCAACATTGTAAGACACAATTAAGCCTTGAACGGATATGACTCTTTACATCGGACACACTTTTAAAAACTTCGACACAAAGTGGGCAGTTACGAAATGCATACACATTGTGAATGGTTGTGTGTCTTTCCAGTCCACCAGCTGACTTTAACACATTTCCACAAATGTAACATAAATTGCTGGTATTTAATGTAATTTCGTAGTAGACCGGTTCTCTGCTACAATGACTTCGTATATGGCTCTATTTTTCTGCTTTATTCAAGCAAAACATACTAATTATATATATATATATATATATGTTTTGAACAATAAAAAATATTAAAAAATTAAAATCTTCAGACACACTGGGTTGTATATTAATATTCTATCGTTTTTATTATTTCAGTTAGATTCCTCGACTAGTTTCGGCCCACATGGCCATCATCAGGAGAAAAACAAATTCTGCTTGTTAGTAGCAGTGAACTACAGAAATGAATGTCTTGATGAAGAAAATAAACTTTCTTCTGTAGTTTTCATTTGTTTTTTTTTCAAATATATATATATATATATATATATATATATATATATATATATATATATATATTTTAGTTGGACTCATGTGAGTTTATGACCCTCGGTGTCACGCTATTTGCGATCATCAGCGTGTCACTCCAGGGTCACAAACTCACATGAGTCCAACTAAATCTGTTAGCTCTATCGATGATATTGAACGCTTTTTTTTAATAAGTACCGCCTATATATAATATATAAATAATATATATGTATATATATATATATATATATATATATAATTGTATATATATATATATATATATATATATATATATATATATATAAAATTGTATATATATATATATATATATATATGTATAGAAGAAGAGACCACGTGTGCTTCTTGTAGTATTTAAAATAGATAGGTTGGTTAATAAGACAAGGGAAAACAAAAAGGTACCAATATGATCAGTGCGAAAAGAATTTATTCTCTGTTAATCACAAGACAGAAATGAAGCAAGGAGATCGCATCGCTGATGAAGGACATATGCTTGCCCGAAAATTCCGGACTAATAACATTAATTTCCGTTCTTCCTTTTTGTCTTGTGATTAACAATTAATATATAATAAATTCTTTTCGCACTAATCACATTGCCACCTTTTCGTTTTGCCCTGTTTTATTAACAAATCTATTATATATATATATATATATATATATATATAACGTCATCCACAGACAGTTTCGCTGTTTCATAGCTCATCAGTGTATATATATATATATATATATATATATGTGTGTGTGTGTGTGTGTGTATCTAGGTAAATTGAAAGCGAATAGAGTGCAATTCCATCGTTCGTAACATTTAATTTAAAAGAGGGTTCTATACAGAGTAGAGCAATATTATTTATTTTAAGATATTACATCGGAAACATGTCAAAATCACTCCACAATTGAAGTTGTGTTTCCATGCGTATCAGAGCATCTCATCAGGCGATTGCAAATTACTGGAGAGTGAAGGATTTATTTAGATTTAAAAGCAAAATACAGCCTCTTTTAATTTGTTCTCTTTCTCTGAGTTTAAATTTAACGTAGGTCATATTTGATTGGTTGATCTGAGTAAAGCTCACAAAGCTTATAACCCCGCCCTTTTTTCGTAAAAAGAGGTTGGATTTTGATTTTAAATCAAGATAAACCGTTCACTCGCCAGTCACTTACAATCGTCTGATGAGATGCAATGATACGCATCGAAACACGACTGCAATTGTATAGCGATTTTGCTACGTTTTCGATGTAATATCTAAATATATATATATATATATATATATATATATATATATATATATATATATATATATACCGCATATTTTGGGAGCATGTTTTCATTAAGACATGTCTCATTAAATAATTTAGGTAGGTTTTATCAACTTATTTTTAATTGGACCATCTCGTAATTACGAACAAATTTCTTAGTAAAAGAAAGAAAAGAAGAAAGAAAATCACCATGTTGATGTGTATTTATTTTATTCCAAGTACCTTCGACATAACCACAATGTTGTCATCATGGTACTTATGAAGATATTTTTTATAATTTTCTTAAGCTGGGATTTCCAGGGATTTTTTCAATGTGTTGTTGTGTTCCTTTTTTTATCATTCCAAGTGCACCTACTATGACACTGGTACTGTTCTTGTTTCAATTTCCATATCTTTCCTATTTCGATTTCCAGGTCTTTATTCTTCGATAGTTTTTCAAATTCCTTGATTGCTATGTTACAGACCGCTGCGCAAGCCATATTAATTACGAAGCAATTTTTTTTTTCGGCTTTTGACAATTATGTTCGGCCTATTTGCTTCAATCTTCCTGTCTGTAAAGATGGTCCAATCTCAAAGAATTGTGCTGTCTTCTATTTCTGTAAACGGTGCTGGGCGATATTCATACTAATGTTTACTAACAAATTTTATCATTATTATTATTATTATTATTATTATTATTATTATAAAAATTCACTTTATTTTAAAACAAATAAAGATACATGCATCCAAACATACACACACACGCAAACTTATATATATATATATTATATATATATATAAATGGGGTTTTATTAAGTGGATTGCTAAAATATGCGTATTTATTTTCGTCTTCCACTTTTGAATCCAAAACTGTCCGACTGTAAACGAACATTCGTGCTCCTTGACAGGAGAAACTGTTAATATATCCGACGTGCTTATTCCGTCTTAACCACGGATTACGTCGATGATCAAGTAAAGTTAAATCGTTCCTTGTAAGGGCAAATCTTTCTCCTATTATCGAGACATTCATGTCTGCTCAGTCTCGTAACCGAACGTAAACTAAGCACTATATAAAATAAGTAATGGAGTCTATCGGTCTGAATTTATTTAAACATTTCACCGCAAGCAAGGAAGGAGTGCTACTAGCACGCAAAGGGTTACAGAGCGTGAAAGTAAGAGTAAAGAGGAGGGGTGTTTGAGGAAAGAATAAAGAAAAAGTCGGGGTTTAAGATCCAGTCATCAGAAGATGACGATTGACATTACATCTGAATATTTGAAGATTACAGCTATAAGCAAGATGAAGGAAGTTTCACTATCGAGAAGTGCGAAAGAAAAAGCTATTTGTAATAGAAGAGGTTGTTACATTTAACTGTTTCGACAGTGAAAAGATGTAGCAGAGATGCCAACCTAGTATCACGCTTAAATTCAGGCCGTTGAGATGTTCAAGACATCTTGTTAAAAAAAATATATGCTCTCCGGCAGCATACGAATCTGCATCGGCCTTGAATGAAGAAACCTTCTTTGAATCTGATGTGCTTTTACCGTCTCAGTCATGGAGTCCGTTGCCGATCAAGCGAATTTGAATATTGCCTTATAAACGCAAATCTTTCTTCGACATTTTAATAAGTAATTTTACTAAATCTATTTTAATAAATAAACGGAGCGTCTAGTTAAGTATGGGTATCCACTAAAAATAACGGTTAAGTAATAAAATCTCTCGGACTAATAAATAAAAACAATCCATGAATTCTTATTCGAAAATTATAAAAAAAAATCATGCTATAAAACCACTACAAAAATAGTAATTTTGTTTCAATAATTCTGGTGTTCTGGTGTCATATACAATACCATCACTTGATAAGGCACCAGACGAATTCAAACAAAATGGTTATTTTTGTAGTGATTCTATAACATGTTTATTTTATAATATTTGAATAAATTATATTTGCTCTACACTCTGTATTGAGCACGCTTTTAAGAATAGCATTTTTGGTAATTGGAATTTATACCGTATACACGAACCCTATACTTGAGTATATATATATATATATATATATATATATATATATATATATATATATATATATATATAAGCATAGGTACAAGACACATGTCTCTCTCAATGTATATAAAGAGAACTAGAGAAAGGGTAGGAGAGATAAATGAAGATGCGCCCTTGAGGGTGAGAAGTAATAACTTTGAGGCCTTGAAAACTAATTAGGATTCGGTG